CCTGTTTGGTATAAACAAGCAACCCGTCCAAATCATGAAAAATTTTATCCGGATGGTGCTGGTATACCATCGTTTACTCACGTTTTTATTGTATGTCATTTGCTTGGCTCAATAGAATATCATTTCGATATCAGCGGTAGTTTATCAATACTTTACCAAACAGGTAAGAATATCATACGACTGAACAAACCATCTTGACCATTCCAGTTTGACCAACGTTGCAAAACATTAGCTAAATGTGTGCCTGTTGTACCGCCTAAAACCGACAATTTCGCACCATTTATTTCAATTGTTGTACGTGATGTTGAGCGGGATAATCCTTCAATGCCATCAAATGAAGCGCATAATAATGGAATTTCTTCTGTGGATTTCTCATTGTATATACCCCACTTCCCAAATACACCATCTATCTCATCATTTACCAGACATACATTGCCGGTAGCCAGTGATTTCAATAAAGCCAACCCATTTGGACTATTTGTTACACTATTTCCCGACTGTGTATTAGCTCCACCAGACGGTATGTTTTTCATATAATCATGTCTAAACATTTTTGTGACTGTTGTTGCTGCAGTCAATAAATATTTGAAGTTTGGTGATTTTCCACAGCCTATATAATAGTTAAACGAATAGAATAGCAGTAGTCGCAAGTAATACTAAGGTTCAATCTAACAAAACATTAGAGTGGTACTGATTATAAAAAGAAACTAAAAATCAAGATTAATAGTAGATTAATAGTAATTCAATCAACGACTCTTGTGCGCTAAGACTAAGAAAGATATAATTTTGCTTTTGTATTTTATCTGTAATAAAACTTTAGAGTTGTGTGGGCTACGAAAGCAAAAAGAAAATGAGCGGAAGGAATGCTACAGTGAAGGAGGTAATTACCTGGCGGTCCAATTACAATACTATACAAATTTAATGGCTTTAATTGTTTAAACATTGATGCATATGTTGATGATTGCGCAAAATGGGATAATAATGGTAACATTCCATAGAAAAGAATTGCTATATCACCACCAACTTCTTTGTAACGATCAAAAATGGACGCTTCATTCTGATTTAATACTAAATCTAAGTCTAATTTAGTTTGTGCAGCAGCTTTGATATTTTCTTGTAATATTCTCCCATATTTTCCACCCGCTTTATTCGCCATTTCTTGTTTTCACTCACTACTCAATAATTCTGCAATAAAGAGAGATGAAACTTTCACCGTTCGATATGCGGACATCTAAACACCATTTCTATCCAGCAAAACGCAGAGATGGGCAAGTCAAAGTCATGACTGAGACTGAGTCACGACTGATGGTTTTTTTTTTCGAGACTGAGACTTGACTGAGGCTGATGGCTTCGTGACTGGGACTTGACTGAGACTGTCGAATTTCTAACCGTGACTGATTGTTGAAAATATGACTGATTTTTTTTAAAATAGAAAGTGAGAGAAAGACAATAAAAGTAAGCAGAAAGACAAATGAAGATGAAATGAAAAGTCTAGATGTTATCAAAAAGAAGATATAGTGGCAGAAAGTGAATAACTATACATAGTGAATAAAGAAATACGTATATGATGTATAGTCTACTATAGGCATGCAACAGTTTCTTTTACATGTTTCTCAAAAAATGGTTTGTATTATCGCAACAACGAACTGTAAAATTTTCTGAAATCCGCAGTTTTGTAGAGCAAACATTTCTCTACAAGATGGCATATAGGAGGCATTTTTAAAGTTACTTGATTTCTTTAAAAAGCGTTTTTGATACAATGGCCCAGCAGTTAAAAACTGCAGTTTTTTTGCAGAAAATTTTACAGTTCGTTGTTGCGATAATACAAACCATTTTTTAAAAAACACGAGAAAAAACTCTTAAAAAACTGTTACATGCCTAGTCTATGTCCTATTGGTAACAGGGAAAGAAAAAGAAAAATGTGAAATCTATAGTCTAGTTTATACATGTACACATGAGAGATCACAATGTGATAATCATACCTGTCACACACAGTTCAGTTTGTTTGTTTCTCAAAATGTCTTCACAACGTAACCCTGCTAGTTTGATTTCTAGTAAAAAAAACTTTTGAAAAGTTTTTTGTCGATTTGAAACATAATCATGAGAATAACACTTGGAATGCTACATGTACAATTTGCCGGGATGATCCAGCAGTGAAAAAAAAAGCTATTTCTGATACTAAAAACGTGTATTCAAATTTTAAACGACATGTTATTAAACAACACACTAAAATATTCAATGAATGGGCAACTTCTCTCAAGGTCAAAATGTTGAAATGTAACTTCAAATTTGTCGATTAAGATATTAGAAATATTTCTGTGCCTTTTTTATGTTGTTAAACACTACGATCAGAAGAAAGAAAGATGGTCAAGTCTAAGTCACGACTGATGGTTTTTTTTCGAGACTGAGACTTGACTGAGACTGAAAAAGTCGTGACTTGCCTATCTCTGAGCTAAACGAATTTAGGATCTTTTCCAAGACTAGGATTCTTTGAGCATCTTTATTCTCAGAACAAAACATATACACTTGCCAACTCACTTTGTTGATTATAACTGTGACTTTCCTATTGTAAATCAAGCACCATTGGACAGATGAATTATGATGTGTACTGATGCTGTTTTCTTCCTCAAAATAGAACAAACACAGATGAAATCATCGTTTTCCTGTTTTTCCTTCTTTACACACATATAGAGATGATAATATAGAGAAAGAATGAGACTGTTTGTTGTATTCTCAAGGTCAAAATTAATTCTTCGACGTGGGTAGTTTCTTTTTCCTATCAATACGTGTGTTATATGTTTGCATTTCTTATTTTATCTTTCCATACATTTTTCTTCTTTATGTGTTTTCTCGTTATCTCTACCCTAGACTAACCATGATGAATATGTATAGTTACCATACAGTTTTTATCTTTGTTCCTGTTTCAAGGTTGATCTTTTCCTATGATCAAATTATACTGCGAGAATAAAAGACTACGTTGAACATTATTTTAGACCCAGATCAGAAAAAATTGATTCTGTAATAATACAAAGTCTGTAAGAGATCTTTGCCAACTTCGTAACATTTTATCAATTTCGTTTTGGATATCTTTACGTTGTTGTATTGTTTTAAAATACGGTCGTGCAGTCACTGGGGAATGATCTCCAGTATCAATGACATGATGAATCGGTGTGATTACTTTTCTTGGTGTTGTTGTATCAAATAAAGGTTGGTTTGATTTTCTTGTCTAGTTAAGTCGTTCACTGGCATTGCTTGTTCCGTTATAGTTGAAAAATATGTGTTGACCGATAAACGGGATATTGTTCCAAAGTGCATATTTTGTTGTAAAGTTACTGGGGATGTTGATAAATTGTATACTTTAACTTTAAATTTATGATCATTTACTACAATTAAGCCATCACTCACTGCTATACGTTTTTGGTCTTGCATCTGTTTATTTATTGCCTCAAAATACAAATGTTTGGCTGCTATGATGGGTGTTTTGATTTCAACTATGGCCGTTTCACGGG